GCCCGGCATCAGCCGCCAGGTGATCACTCACCGGCTGACCGTCGATCCGGCCTCCGCGCCCGTCAAACAGAAGCGGCGCTACTTGTCCGCTGACAGGCGGGACTTCGTCAAAGAGGAGGTCGCCATGCTCCTATCGATCAAACATATCAAAGAGGTGAAGTACCCAACGTGGTTGGCCAACGTCGTCCTCGCACAAAAACCGCCGACGTTTAGAATGTGTGTTGACTACACTGACCTGAACAAGGCGTGCCCCATGGACCCGTTCCCTCTCCCCAACATTGATCAGTTGGTGGACGAGACGGCGGGGTGCGAGTTGATGTCGTTCCTCGACGCTTTCAGAGGGTACCACCAGATCTCCATGCACGAAGATGACGCCGAGAAGACGGCATTCATGACCCCAGAGGGAATATTTTGCTACCTCGTCATGGCCTTCGGACTCAAAAACTCCGGCGCCACCTATACTAGGATGGTGGCCAAAATCTTCAGAGCGGTCCTTGGCCGGACGATGGAGGCGTACGTCGACGACATGATCGTCAAGAGCAGGCAGGCCACCTCCCACGTCGACGACCTCCGGGAAATCTTTGAAATCATGAAGGAATTCAGGCTCCGCCTTAACCCCAAGAAGTGCGCCTTCGGCGTCCGAGGCGGCAAGTTCCTTGGCTACATGGTCAGCCGGAGAGGCATCGAGATAAACCCGGAGAAGACGCAGGCCATCATCAACATGGAGCCGCCTCGCAACGTCAAGGAGGTACAACGACTGACGGGGCGCCTGGCGGCCTTAAACCGGTTCCTCTCCAGGTCAGCTGAGAGGGCACTCCCCTTCTTCCAGATCATGCGCAAGGCAACCAGCTTCAGGTGGACGACGGAGTGCCAGGAAGCATTCGACGAATTGAAAAGGTACCTGTCGTCCCCGCCCATACTCTCCAAGCCCAAAGCCGGCGAAACCCTCTTCCTGTACTTAGGGGTGAGCACGTCGGCCATCAGCTCCGTGCTCATCCGTGAGGACGAAGGGGTGCAGAAGGCCATCTTCTACATCAGCAAGACACTTAGGGAGGCCGAGCTCAGGTACTCCCCCATTGAGAAGACGGTGCTGGCCATCGTCCACACCGTGAAGAAGCTGGGGCACTATTTCCAAGCCCACACCGTCCATGTGCTGACCCAGCAGCCTCTCGGCACGCTCATGAGGAGCCCCACTAGCTCCTCGAGGATGGTGAAATGGGCGATCTTCCTCAGCCAGTTTCAAATTGAGATCAAGCCAAGGCCATCTATCAAAGGGCAAGCCTTGGCCGACTTCGTCATCGAATGCACAGCAAGGGAGACGGCCGTCGCCAACCCCGGGCCGGAGCCGGACGACACGTGGACCCTGTTCACTGACGGCTCGTCGGCCGCGAAATCATGTGGCGGCGTCGTCGTCCTCATATCCCCTGAAGGATTCAGAGCCTACTATGCCATCCGCTTCAACTTCAGGGTATCCAACAACGAAGCCGAGTATGAGGCCCTCCTCAGCGGCCTCAGGCTCGCCGCCGGCCTCAAGGCCAAGCACCTCAGAATCAAGTGCGATTCCAAACTGGTAGTGGGCCAGGTGGAGGGATCGTACGAAGCAAAGGAAGGCCGGATGAAGCAGTACAAACAAGCAACGGAGGAATTGCTGAAAGCGTTTGAAACCCATGAGATCACTCAGATCCCAAGGGCCGAGAACGCCGAAGCCGACATCCTCTCCAAGCTCAGCTCGGACACCCCGGAGCACATCTCCCAGTTGGCCAAGATCGAGGAGTTGAGCATGTCCAGTATCCATGCCAGCCCCGTCTTGTGCGTCCAATAGCGACCAGAGGACTGGATCTCCGACATCGCCACCTTCATCACAACGGGGGAGTTGCCCCCGAACGAGGAGAGGGCCAAACTTGCCAAACTCAGGGCCCCAAGCTACACCATAGAAGATGGCAAACTCTACAAACGGTCCTACAATGGCACTCTCCTCCGATGCCTGCACCAGGACGAGGCCGATACCGCCATGGAAGAAGTTCATTGTGGTGTTTGCTCCTCGCACCAGGGTCCTTTCAGCATGTCCCGGCGTCTCGTCGTCCAGGGCTTCTTCTGGCCGACGATGGCACGAGACTGCGCTAACCTGGCCAGGAAGTGCACCACATGCCAGGTACTCCAGAAAGCCCCTGGTCGGCCAGCTGTCAACTATGCCCCGGTCAGCACCGCAATTCCATTCTCCAGATGGGGGATTGACCTGGTCGGCCCCCTACCCAGAGCCGCCGGTAACAACCGCTACATCATCGTCGCCGTCGACTACTTTACCAAGTGGGTCGAGGCGGAACCCTTGGCCAGCATCACAGGGGCCAGATGCCAAAGGTTTGTTTACAAGAACATCATTACACGCTTTGGCGTCCCCCAAGAGATTATATCAGACAACGGCACCCATTCGAGGCAGCCCCTTTCCAGGAGCTCCTCCGGGAGTTTGGGGTGAGGCACCGTTTCTCCTCCGTTGCCTATCCTCAGGGCAACGGGCAGGTCGAGAACGCCAACAGAACAATAATGGAGGGACTGAAGAAGAACCTCCAGGCCGCAGGAGGTAGTTGGGTCGACGAACTCCCCAACATCCTGTGGTGCTACAGAACCACGCCGAGGAGGGCGACAGGCGAAACACCTTTCGCCCTGTGCTACGGCTTTGAGGCGAAGGCGCCCACGGAGGTAGCCATCCCCAGCCGGCGAGTGGAGCAATATGAGCCTGACACCAACGAAGAGAACATGAAGATTGACCTACACCTGGTTGATGAGAGGCGTGAGCAAGCTTACGTCCGAGCAGAGAACTACCGGCGTCAAGTAAAATCATACTATGACGCCAAGGTACGTTCTCGGGAATTTCAGGTGGGGGACTACGTCCTCCGCCGAAGGGAAGCAAGCCAGCCGACAGAGGGTGGCAAGCTAGCATTGAAGTACGAAGGGCCCTACATCGTCAGTGCCGTGGTCAAACCCGGCACCTACAAACTTAAACGACCGAATGGGTCCAATGTACCGCGAACATGGAATGTACATCATCTGGTGAAGTTTTATCAGTAATCCGAAGGAGGTGTAGACAGCGAAGCCCTCACCCCTTAACGGGTTACTGATTGAACGCCACCCTCGGCCTCGAGCCACTTATGAATAAAATCATGTTCTGATTTTTTCTCTGGAATTTAAAGAAAAACATTAGCAGGTGCCCTCGTCGGCCACCTTAAGAGCGAAAGGCTCAGGTCTGGCCGACATGGTCCCTTGCATTTGCAGCCTACGAGCGAGAAGCTCAGGCACTCCATTGTATTTTGTATCAGCGAAGGGCTCAGGCCCAGCTGAGAGAGCACATCGTCCTGGCCCCGTAAGCCTAGAAGTGAAACGCTCAGGTATGGCCGACGATGTCCCCAGGACGAGGGGCCCGCAAACGGCCCACGTCTTGAAACGGGAAGCTCACCGCGTCGTCCACGCGCCAGATCGCAGGACGACAGGCCTGAAATCATGGCCGAGGTGACAAAATCCCAAAACTCAGGGTTGGGCAACGACAGCCGTTGGAAACCGACCAAAAGTCTAGCCCGCGTCATAAAAAGGCGACGGGACCCGCCCTGAGATCACGGACGTTATAAACGAAGTCCGAACCGGCCGAAGGACGAGCACACCCTTCGGCCGAAGCCTGAAAGAAGGATACCCCCGAAACAAAAAAAACAAAAAAAAAACAAAAAAAACAAAACAAGGGAAAAAGAGGGAAGCCGACGGCCGCGCACACTTGCCGGCCTCGAGCAATGCAAAAATAAAATACCCAAAATTCAGGCCCATTTTGGCCAAGTACATATCAGTTGAACACAAGTTTAGTACCACTAACAGGTAACATGGACGACACGTCCACACACCACGAGGGAACAATCAAGGCCGATACACACGCCTATAAAACCCTAACCATATCGGTTGGGTGACACGCGAGAGGTGACCTTCATCGGCCATAGTCCTTTGAGGCACCAGCGTTTGGTATGAAACAAAGCATCACAAACCGGAGGATGACCGGGACGAAGCGGGCACTCATCACACCTGCGAAAGGATCAAGTAATCAAGATGCAACCTCTACTTGCCACCGCACCTCGGATAGCCGACGCAGGCACTGGAACCATGACTAGCCGACGAAGGCAGGACCATCTCCTTGGACAAGCTACTCCTTATCCAGCACCTTCATCGGCCACAAGCCAGACCTTGGCCGACCAGGGCACCGCAAAGACGTAAATACCTGACATTTATACTCAGGAAATTATCTAAGTACTCAAGGGGAGGAATTCTAGCCGAGGCGGGTACCAGTACACTACAAAGCCGTTAACCACCTACACCTCTACATATGTACTTGTGAAAAATTCAAAGTCCACAACACAGGGATACAAGCCGACAACGGCCCTGGCTAAAACACCCGGGAAGAATCCAAGGCCAGGACGATAAGGACGCCAACGCCTGGACGAAACGGACACTGCGGTCAGGGCTAAAAAGGGAAGCACCTAAAAGGAATCAAAAACACTTAGGAAATTTTGTGAAAAAATCCTAAGTGTTATGATAGCAAAGGAACACCGATCAAGCCGACCAGGCCACCAGGCCGAAAGGAAAGCACCTAAGTGGATCCCAAAACACTTAGAAAAATTTTGAAAAATCCCTAAGTGTTATGAAACTATGTCCAAGCCGATCAAGCCACTAGGCCGTAAAGACAGCGGCTACATGGACCCAAAAACACTTGGGAAAAATTCCTAAGTGTTATGACAGCAAAGCAAAGAGGCATAGCCCGACCAGACTACTGGACAGGGAGGCCGACCCCATGGACGTAGCGGACATTCAGTTAGGACTTGACATCGACAATTTACTGAATTGAAATGACAAGGCAAAAAAGCATGCAATGGATTCAAGGACGAGAAGAATGGCAAAAAATTCTTTCATTCAATTAGTTCATTACAATGGGGGGCACTTCGGCCTTTACAATAATTCGCCAACAAATGAAAAAGCTAACTACGGCAAGGACTAGCCGATCAAGCATCCGGGGCTGGCTCTTCAACCTCGTCGGCCCCCTCCTCATCGGCCTCAGCTTCCTGGCCGGCAGCGGCGCTGGTGGCATCATCCAAGAAATCGAACTCCGTATAGTCCGGCTCGCCGAGGCCGGAGCTTTCTATGGGGGACTCACGCTCCGACAGCGGAAGCGTGGCCTGCCCTTCGGGATCCTTCATCAGCTTTGGGAGCTTCAGGTTCCGTCTAGCCCATCCAGCCGTGTAATTCATGGCCTTCAACGCCCGGGATAGCCGCCGGTACAGGAGCCGTTACATCCGCTCCTGGCCCAGGTTGTAGTAAACAGACATCTCCTGGCTGAAATACTCTCGGCCGGCAGGGGAGTTCATCCCCCAATTCTCCAGCTTGGCGGCCACCACCTCGTAGCACCAAGGGAGCCTCTCATCGGCCTTCCACCCTTCGGCCAAGAACTTCTCAACAGCCTCATCGGCAGCCTTCACAACGGCGGCCTCGGCCTCAGCTTTCGCCTTGGCGGCCTCCTCGCTCCTGCGCTTCTCGGCCTCAAGCGCTCTCCGGGACTCTGCGAGCTCCCTTTTGCTCTCTTCGAGCTGGACCAGGGCAACGTCCCTGGCCTCAACGGCCTCATCAGCTTTGGCCTGCAGCGCCTTGGCATCCTCCCGAAGCCGGTCAAGGCAAGCTACCGCCTCATCGGCCGAGGCGGCCTTCTGCTCCAGCGCTTGAAGGCGGGCAATCTCCCAGTACTGCCTCTTGTGGCTTTCCATAAGCATGAAGGCACTCTGCATAAGAAAAACAAAGGTCAGACAAAGAAACTCTACATAGACGAAGAGAGACAAGAATATAAGGACAGTCACTTACTTGGACGAGGAGATCCATGCCGCCCTCATAAATCTTCGGGCCCTCGATCTTCTTCAAATGAGCCCGATCTTTGGCCGGCATGGCCTTGGCCAGGACGGTGTGACCGGGGACGAGCTCATTAAACACGCCCCCGCCGACGGGGTACTCTATCACTTTCTGATAGGTGTCACCGGCGGTCTCCTTGCCGGCCCTCTGCGTCCGCGGCTCCTGGACGAGAGGCAGCGCCGGGGCGGCATCACCAGCAACAGTAAGGTCCACGACGGGACCACCATCGCCCACGCTGGGGACAGTAAGCGTACCGGCCTCACTAGCCGGAGAAGGGGAAGGAGCCCTCTTCGTCTTCTTAGAGACACTCACGCCGGCCTCGGTCAAGGCTTTGGGGCAGGCTTTGGGGCCGCATCTGCAGTTGCCCCGCTCCCACCGGCCGCGGCACGCCTGGCCGCTTCGGCCGCCTTAGCAGCAATCTCCTCGGCCGCTTTGGCCTTTGCAATAGCCATCATGGAACGGCGGTCCATGACAAAATCTACAAGGGAAAAACATACAGATTAGAAAGGCAAAGGACAAAACATAAAGACAGAAAGCCGAAGAAAAAATTACCATCGGCCTCAGCAGGAATGCCCAAGTCTAGGCCGTCGGCCTCCTCAAAGGTGGTGGTCATCCTCGGCCAGAGTTGGAGGTCATCCTCCTTGTCACCATAGACATAGTACCTCACGAAGCCGAGGGCGGCCATCTTATATTCTGTGATGTAGTCCTTCACATTCCTCGGCCCCCCTTCCAAGAAAGCCTCCACCTGAGCGTCCAGAATAGAGCTCTTCGGCGGGTCGTGCAGGTTAAACCTCCCGGTGTGGCCGAGGGAGGGAAACTCGGTGCCACTCTCACCAATGGACACAAACACGAACTTGCTCTTCCACCCATGAATGGACGTAGGCAAATCCGTGAAGCTCCTCTTCTTCGGCAGCTGCTGAAGAGTCGCGTAGGCCGCACAGTTCTTGTGGCTTCCTCGGCCTATCTGGTACAGATTCATAAACAACGCCGTTGTCGGCTTGTAGCCCAACTCCTCACACCGGAGCAAGAATCCCACCATCAAGGAGTAGCTGTTCGGCGTCAACAAGGCCGGAGGAAGCCCTACCATATCCAGGTACTCAGTAATGAAAGGGTGAAGAGGAAACTTCAACCCCTTAGCAAAACTCATCGGGTATACTCCAAAGTATCCCGGTGGTGGAAGAAGAACATGGTCCGTCGGCTTGGGCGCCCTAACCCGCCCGAACGGCCCCACGTACATCTGGGCAACCAGATAGTCAGCCGCACTGCTCTCCGGCTTGATCAGGTAGATGTTGGTGAGATCTAGATAGGAGATGCCGGGCCCACTCTTCGGCCTCCTCACTCTTTTCGGCTTGGCGGCTCCCTTAACAGCGGACACCGGCCTCGGGCACGGAATGACAGCAGAAGTGGACGCCCCGTCCACCACTCGGGACGCACCTACGTCCTCACCCTTTGAAGAGGAGGCGGACTCCTCGTCCTCGCCTTCCTCGTCCATCAGCTCCGCGGATTTGTATGGACTTAGACGCTCTATCTCCTCCTCAAACTCCTCGAGCACCTCGTAGTCAAGCGACCTCGTGGAGGGCTGGTCGTCGTAGGGGTAGTAGTCGTCGTTCAAACTCTTCATTACTACTACTACGGGCTTAAGAAGAACTTGCGATCTAAAGGTGTTTAAATGCCTAACACTAGATCAACTACTTACGGAGCAAAGTATTAAAAGTGAGGAAGATCGTGATGAACACTAACCTCAAACAATGAAGAACACGAAGAACAGGCTTGGAAGTTTCTCTCTCTAGAAAATCGGTCAGCACTTCGACAAATTCAGAATGCAAATGTGGTTCTTCGTCGGAGGGGAAGGGGTATTTATAGACCCCCCCACCAACGGTCACTACACGTGGCACTCTCCCAAAGGCCACATCAACGGCCACCAATGGGAAGCTACCACGACACCAACAGGCCAGGCCCAAGCCACATCAACGGACCACTGGCAAATCAGACTCTACGGCCTACACACGCTCAACGGTTTTACAACTGCCAGCAAGCGCCCACAACGTCCCACTTGCTCACCAATATCACGAATACCAAACAATAAGAGGATGGCAACGGCCAGGAACGTAACGGCCACAGAACAAAGGGGACATAGCCCACAGCCTTCGGCTCCTCGTAAATACCCTTGATGATAACTCTCTACAAGCGATCTGAGCACAAGGGTTCTCCCACAGGGTTACCTTGGCCAGAAAATCGCCGTGAGAGTTGGATTCAGGGGGACTACGGCGAGACCGCTTCGGCCAGGGACTCAAGCAACTCCTTCACCCCTCACACTCTTCGGTCTGAAGCAGTGGGGGACTGGGGGACTACACCGGCCTCAACAAAACAAAAGAAAATGCAAACAAGGTAACCACAGAGCATGGCCATATCGGCCACGCATCACACCGCACCTCGTCGGTATGCACGCAACGTCATCTGCAACGGCCGACGGGTCACCAAAGGCAAGGACACTCATCGTCCCCCGCCAACAATTGACCTTGACGGGCTCTTCGGCAAAAAACACGAAGGCCAATCAGCAACGGCCAAAGGGAGTGAGCAAACATCCTCATCGGCCACACGAAGGAAATGAGGCCATCGTCCTCAAAGCAAGGAACAACCTCAACGGCTTCACCGGCCCAAACGTAAACTGCAACCACCAACGGCCAGGAAAGGGAAAGCGCGCTTTCAACGGCCACCGTTGGAAAAAGGACACTCATCGTCCCAAAACAAATTAAGGAAACAACGGCCTCCCCGCCCACAGCGAGGAACAGGATCACCAAAATAGAAACAGCGCCAATGCCGCCACAACTAACGGCCTGGGAATGCCCACATCGACCAAAAGCAACAGCACAGAAATCTACTCTCCTTCACTTCGTCTACGTCTCAGCTTAGAGAGTGGGGGACTCCTGATGGAGTATATGGGTCTGAGCCCCAGGACCCACATACTCGGAAGAACAGAGCACAAGACAACAGAGTGGCGCCCTCGTCGGCCAAGACGCCCCCGTCGGCCGAGAAGAAGCCAACCCGGATTATGATCCTGAGTCCAAGGAACCCGGGTGCCCTCGTCGGCCGTGCCCTCGTCGGCCGTGCCCTCGTCGGCCACGAGGACCTCCCAGAACCGGATCCTATACTTACTCATTTGTACAGCCCATTAGTGGCTTGTATTCGGCCCAGTAGCGGTCCAGTTGTAAATGGGCCTCCCAAGCCCAAGGCTTGGGAGCCCAACCCTAATTTTCTCTATAAATACTCCCCTTGGGAGTAGTTATAGGGGTTACAAAATCATTCTATTGAAGCATATTATTGCACTTCTCTCTCTAGCTCTCACTTCTCTCTAGAATCTAGGGGTTAATACTCCATCACTAGTAATCATTAATTAATTGTGTTAATCAAGTTATACCAGAAAGATTCAAACTAGACCAAGAACATTCAAAAGAGGCTGGATGTTTTATTTGACAATAACATTTTGTAAGATAAGCTCATAAGCATATTCACTTTTAACAGAAAATTATAATGTGCTGTAAATCAGTCATTAACGTATGCACAAATAAATGATACTTCTTGTTCAAAACTTCAAATTATCGACTTAGAGTGCAAGTGGCGATTAAGTTTACACTAAATAATATAGACCTCAAGTAAAAATGATGTTGTGAAATGTGTTAAAAAGAAGTAAAAAAATAAATAGAATCTAAAACAAGTCCGCTGTAAATGAACATTGAACATCTAAATAAAAATTAATAACGCATCTGGTTGAAAAATTGTCACTTTAGGAGGTTAAAGTAATTCATTTGCTTGGTGACATCTCATATTCTTTGAAAAATAAAAACATAGGAGCTTGACAAAAATATGAACGGTTAATAAAAGCTTGGTATCAGTATATAAAAACCATTGATCCAAATATATTTAATATTTTACAAGGGAATTGCACAAACCCGTCACCAATTTTAGCATAAATGTATTTGCAACACATTTATATCGTCACACAGAAGTGAAAGAACCATTACACAATACACATTTGTCGGCCAAAGCGTATCGGCAGTGGGGACTGCGGAAACTGTCCCAGTGAGTTCTTTAACAAGAAATTAAAGAATAAATGACATTTCCAAAACTATGACGCATTTTACCTTTTCCAAAAATATGATTCAAAACAAATATGACCGTGCCCTTCTCCTGTGTAAATGGTTCTGAGGCTCTTCATCTCCTTTAAGGCTCGAAGAAGAACGCTGCTCGAAGACGCGACGCCGCCATCTCCGCGCATCGCGACGCCGCCATCTCCACGCATCGCGAAGCCGCCAGTATCCTCTGGCTCGCCATCGCGCTCGAACCATACTTCTGTTTCTTCTATTTCTATCTAGCGATGCCGAGCTCAAATGGCCAGGGCAATTCCGAGCACAGATTGTCGCCATCTTCTTCAACTCCGCATCGAATTCCGTCACTCGGTGCCTTCTTCTTCAGGGTTGGACTCCGTCTCTCAGTGGAAGGCCAGATTCTATCACTCGTTGGATTTGACCTTCAAATCAGCGACGCGGGCGGTGGCTTGGTATCCAGATCTGGGCGGACGAAAACAGATCTGAGAGATGGGAGATCATCGGAAGAGATAGGTGGTCATCAGTGTTTACCGGCGGTGGTGGCGGAGATATGTGGTCATCAGTGTTTACCGGCGGTGGTGGCTAGCGGTGGTCAGAATAATTGTAAGAAGTTACCGGCGGTGGCGGCTAGCGGTGGTCAGAATAATTGTAAGAAGTGTCCGGCAGTTTCTGGCAACGTGTCTGGGCTAGTGACCGGAGTTGGGTGGAAGGTACCGGATTAGTGATAGGAGTCGGGTGGAAGTCACTGAATTAGTGACCAGAGTTGGGTGGACGTCACTGGTTAGTGACCGTAATTGGGTGGAGTCACTGCTCAGTGACCGGAACTCACTGAGATAGTGACTGACGGTGGTGCCGGTGCCGGTGGTGGTGTCAGTGACGGCAGCGGAGGTGTCTGTGATGGCAGCGGTGGTGTCGGTGATGGCAGTGGCGGTGCTGGGGTCGGCAGCCACAGGGGTGTTTCTGGCTGCAAAGAAATATTATTAAAATAATAAATGTCTGATTAAATATACAGACATTTAGTTGTCTAATAAATAGGATTAAAACAATAAACAAATGCACAAATAGGACTTCCATGTTTCATGGGACTAAAAATGTATTTAATTGACAAAATTGTCCTTAATGATTTCTAATCTATTTAGTTGACGGCGAAGGAGGAGGAGGAGGAGGCCTGGAATAAGTGGAGTGATGATCGGCAGAGGAACCATTGAAATCGAGATCGAGAGAGACGCAGGGGAGAAGCGCAACTGCTTAGATCGTGATGGAGTTGAGTTATAGAAATTTAGGGTTATAATATTATTATACAAAAGGGTATAATGTTAATTCAGAGTCCTATTTAGGGAATAAAAAACGTTTGGTCCTATTTGCGCATTTATGTTTACTATTAGTCCTATATAGGGCAATTACTTTTAAATATAAGCAATAAATGACTTTTAGTCACTTTTTTGGAAAAATTTAAAACAAATCACATTTGTCTTTTTCATTTATTTTAGTAATATTGGAATAAAAAGGCCAAAATTAAATGATGCCATTTTGGCCTTTGACTAAATAAGTTAGTGGCACACATTCAATTTCAAATTTAGCCATACAAAATCCCTTAGAAGGTAAAACTCTTGACAGAATATAGTATTCTGGTAAATGTCTTAAATATTTTAAGTTATTTTGATTTTTTCTCATTCTTTTAATCAAATTAATTGTATTATTTAGATTTGGGTAAATATTTTTTATGCCACAATTGTTTATAATCTCACCCCCTCCACGCTGACTTTTCCAACAGCCAGCAGCAATAACATCCACAAGCGGTTGTTAGAGCAAGACAGGGTTGGGTAAAAATAAATCATATTTTTTGTCTTAGTTCTGTCTTCCAAGAGTGTGTCTTCCAAAAGTGCATGTAATATTTTTGTCATTGTTCCAAAAGAAGATCAACTAACTGCAGCATCAAACCCATATCCCCTACCCATTGCGGTGTCAAAGGCTATTTTGATCTGAAAAGAACATCATGAAGAATAAATATTCAAAGCTGAATAGGAAATAAACAAAATTTAACAGCATGGGTGAGCAAAGCCAAATGAGCTGTAATCATTACACAATAAAGTTGATCCATAGAAACAAGGTCATCCAAATAAAACTTCATTGCTCAGTCATGAGGAAATTACTCATAGATTCACAGCAGCCATCAGCAGAGTAGGGTCAGGCAAACAAAGGAATTCTACTCTTCCCATCAGTGACATCATATAACTTTAGAACGTTTGCACATACTTTGGTACATATGGTGCTTGCTTCATCAAGAGATTGGTACATGAATAGAGTGTCATAGCCCCTCTGATCTGAAGGTATGGCAATCTTGTGAGCCACTTCTATTACTAACTGAGGTAATTGGCGGGCAATTTCCTCACAGCATTGATGAGTTATCCTGCATGTTGAAATCTTCACAAATTGCAGCCTGTAAAAATGATGCAAAAGAGAACGCAAAGCTGAATCTCCGAATTGAAAATCACTTATCTCAAGCTTTAGTAGGTTAGGGCAACCATCGAGCACAAATTTCAGCCCCATTTCATTCTTTCCAGCAACACCAACAGACAAAGTATGCAGTGATTTCCCATACTGTCCAATGTAACATAAAGCCTGGTCTGTCAATAAACCAGATGTGTGAAGGCGTCTAAGCTTCTTACAGTTCATAAGAATTGCCCCAAACCCTTCATCCATCGAGTCCCGAGTAACGTAGTCCCGACTTCGCCACTCCGATGTGTGGAGACGGAATACCAAAATATCTGGGCAGTTCTTTGACAGTCCAACAAGAGCTGCATTAGTCATTCTCTTGCAGAAATATAATACGTATTGTAGTCTCCTGCAACCCTTAGAAATTTCAAGCAAACCAATTTCAGAGACAGGCACGTCAACATCGTAGTCATCATCATCATCAATAGCATACTCATCGAGGAAAACACGAAGCTCTAGCAGATCCTTACATGTTGCTGCTACTGCCTCCAGTCCTTCATCACATATTCTAGCAGACACCCACAGGCTCTGTAGTTTATGGCAGTGAAAAATGAGTTCTTTGAAATGTGCACAGCTGATGAGAGTATATTTGAGATTGAGAGAAGTCAGGTTGGAACAAACGGTAAACACAGCAGGCAGATAACTAGGAAGTTCATCCCTGAATCCAGAAAGAGAAACCAATGAATTGCATACAGCAAAAGCAGAAGCGTAGTGAAGTTCTAGTTCACCCACAGCAGCTTCTTGTTCACTTGAGTAACTAAATATACCTATTCCCAGATGGGTGAGCTGAGGAGCTTTGATCATTAGGCGATGGAGTTGGCTGATGGAAACAACGTCATCCAACCTAAGTTTCTTCAAACAAGGAGACCTTGTCACCAGCTGCTCCAAGGCATCAAAATTCAAACACCCTGACATCATAGAATCTTCGAAGATCAAAGACTCAAGAAATGTATTATCATCGGGGAAGCATGAAATCCAGTCCACATTGGCACTATTACTAACACGACATTCAATCACGTCGAGTACCCTTAATTTCCTGCACTCTTTAGCAACCCTACCAAGTCCATAGGTCCCGAATTCTCTACAGCGGACCAACACCAGCTCCTTCAAATTCGGGCATGATAGAACCAGGATATCCATATCTTTGTCCGAGACAATGTAATTTTTGAGGTACAATTTCTCGAGTGTTCGATAAGACTCGGCCATTAAGGTGACCCATGGCGAGAAACGCGCATCGAGCGGCAGAAAGTACAAACACTCGTACTGGGGCTCGAGCTTCAGAACCAATGAGGTGAGCTTCCCGAACCGAGCTTCGAGGCGCTGGGGCGGTACAGCACAGCCGTTTCCGATCAAGACCTCGGATCTGGTCATCGCCTCCGCGCGGTACCATGACTTGGAGACGAGCGAGACAGCGTCGCGATCGTGACGGTCGCTAAGGAAGCGCAGCACATTCTCCAACACGTCCTCAGGGACCTGGTCAAAGAACGAAGGAACAAGCCGGTGGTCTCCGCCTTCACCACCGCCTACGCTGGCAGTAGAGCAGATGAGCGGTTTGCCAGAAACGCCTTCGTCTAGAATAGTAGGAAATGAGGGATGTGATAGCTCATTGTCTCTCGACATTCGGGAACATCCGTCAGTCCCCATGCCAAGAACTGGATATTGGAACTCATGCGGACAGAGTATTTAAACTGGAAGTGTGAAAATGGAATGCCTTTTCGATGACCTCTCAGAATACCTCTCTTGGAACTTGGAAGATCCTATGAATTTTGATAGGGTCGTTTCCATTCTGAAACGGTAGTAAAAAGATACTTCCATCCCTGAATTATCTTCAAACTTTCCTTTTTCGTCCGTCCCAAAATTATCTCTTCCTTCCTTTTTGGCAAAGAATTTGTGGTTCACAATCATTCTTACACATTCTTACACATTTCTCTCTCCTTTGCACAACTCTCCACCACACAAAACTCACTATCTTAATAAGTGTGCTCAACCGAAATGGGAGATAAAACATGGACGGAGGGAGTACTTCAATGAATAGCCAAAACAGAAGTGACAAAATTTTTGGAATAAACAAAAAGATAAAGTTGACAACATGTTGTAGGCAGGAAGAAGTACAATTTTAATTTTCTTAATTTCTGTCATTTCAAATAACAGTTAATTATGAGACGAAAGGGTACCATGAAATGAATTTGAATACCTTTGTTCAATGTTTGATATTTGGATAACTGCAATTGAATTATACTCCTATCTATTTTAGTTTAACTAGACAATGAACCGTTGCACGGGAAAAAATCAACTCATATTATTCAAATTAAAAAGAGATTGAATGAATATTGAATACTATCTTCGGCCCGGGTAACGTCTAAGCTACATTTACGATATTTGACAGGTCATAAACTTAAAGTGATCCTTGTGAATAATGAAATTATTTTTAGCAAATAATATTTATATATTCAAAAATTACATTAAAAGTCTTGTAAAGTCGCAAAAAATTAAATTTGATAAAAAATGGATGCGTAAAGAAAAAGGTTAAGAAAAATTTACATTGGTTTTTATCTTATGAGAGAATGAGCTTTCATTAGTGTTTTTTAGGGGGTCAGCAAACCGGTTCTGTTTGAGTGAACCAAATTGTACTAAATTGAACCGAAATCAAATCATACGCAATTTTGTTTGAATTTAGTGGTATGTCGTTCAAATCAAATTAAATCAAACTAAAACTAATTGAGACCGTGAGAAATTGAATAAGGTCGAGCTGAACTCAAATAGTCAATAAATTTTTAATATGTTTTTAAACCTAACAAATTGAAATTGTAACGAAGTGATTTAATCCGAACTAAATCAAAACATAGTATGATTCCGATCTATTTCAAACCGAATCGAATTGATATTAAAACCAAATTGAAACCAATGTGATCACCCCTAGTATTTTTTTATATAAATTTGTTACTCAATGAGTTTTATTTTATAAGAGAAATAACATTTTTTTAGACTAAAAAGTATGTTTTTTTAAATTGAGGAAACTATTTTTTTACTTTTTTATGTTGTTCTTGTATCTACATTTTTATCCACTTAATTTTTGTAAATTCTGGTTGTTTTTTTATATCCATTGATTCTATAAATTGTAAAGATGAGATATTCTATGTACGTAATTACAGATTTGAATAATTTTCTAGAATTGTAATTGGATTCAAGTAATTATGGACGACGATAATGAACTCCTTAATTTGTTCAAATTTTATGTGTATTTACCCTTGTGATCGCATACATGTGGTACGACAATATATATGGTCCATAAAACGCATATCTTCATTATAATTCAAGTAAATTTAACGTTGGTCGAAAATTGTTCATCCCAAAAAGTCAAAATTCTTGTAGCGGATTGAATGGTATGCCTATTTTGATTAAATTATTATAAAATTGATATACTAAGTTATTGTAGCTCAATTTCAGTAAAAAAAAGTTACTATACCTCGATCATTTAGGTCTCATGCGTTGGTCAAGCATGCATCTCACATTCAAGCATCTCCTTTAGTATTATGCATTGCTTACCATATATAATAAATAACTTAATTTAATGTTATGGCTTGAAAAATGATTTAATACGGAAATAGGCGTGAATAATTGGAGAAATCCATTTATCCACTCAATTCCTTTATATTATATAAAGATATAAAGATAACTTAATTTAATGTTATGACTTGAGGAATGATTCAATGCGGGAATAGGCGGGAATAATTGGAGAAATCCAATTATCCACTCAATTCCTTTATATTATATAAAGATAAATAAATATTAATTGTGTGCCTTGATGGATCAAACAACTCAATTGCAAAATTGTAAAATTAATTGAGCACCACAATTGCTTTAGGAGGGAAAATTGCAAAATCAATTGATCACCCAATTGCTTTATATAATATAAAGATTTGATCGGTTAGTTTGATTTAACATACATAGCATAA